TCCTGGTATTATCTGCAAAATTCACTGTCACTTCAGTTTATTAAAGAAAATAAATTCTTCTCCCTGTTCTTCTCCCTTTCTTATTATTTATTCCACTTACATAAGTCATAAACAGCTATTATTTAAGCATTAGACACTCTGGCTTTGACTCTCCACCCCACACATTAGCCATGTAACTTCATGCAAGCCACTGACCTCTCTCTAAGCCCATGCTTCTTCCTCTGCAAAATGGGGATACTAAGAATGCATATTTCATAGAGTTGTTGTAGGATTAGGAATTGAAATAAAAAACCCATGTCAAATTCTGAACAGAGTGTCCTGCACACAGCAAGTGCATGATAAATGTTGGATGTTATAATGATGAGGCCAGCAATGCAAGGACCAGTGAGCAGGACAACTTTTCAAAAACAGCCGTTCTAAGGAAACCTGTGAGTAAGCCACTTTCCCAGACCAAGGGTTCCCGGGGAATTGCTAGTGATGTTGCTGCCTGGGGTAACAGGAAGGAACAGAGGCAATTATACAGCGTGCAACAAAAATAATTTCATTTCTAATGCCTTTCCCCTGCTGGGCCACTCAGAACCCAAACAATAACAACAGGCAGGGGTGGAAACGAGAAGGGCAGGCACATTCTGAAGGGGCCCAATGACAAACAGACAAGCCCCAGGACTCACTTTGTCTCCCAGACATCTGTAGGGGAGAGTCCTTGGGACTGCAGCTGCAATACTGTGCTGAGCGGCAGCTCCCTGGAAGGCAGGATTGCCCAGGGGCCTGTTGATGGGGCCTCTTGGGGCTGAGTCAGCCTGACTTCACTTTTCATCCTCTGTCTGGGAGCAGGCTGACATCACTCAGAGGGCTCCAGGGAAAGTCAGGGGTCCTCCCTTCCTCCTTTCCTGTTCCTGCAGACAGCAAAGACTTCCCACATCTCCTCCCGGGAAAAGTAAAAAATTTTGCAGTTACTAGCAGATTATAACAAAAATTACCCAATGTGCATTAAGTTGGTGGTTGTATTCAGTGCATATTTAACATCAGCCTATGTTGGCAGCCCCTGTGAGCACTTCTTCACTCCCACCTTTATGTACTGCCCCATACTCTTCCAATTGTCCCCAGCAGCCTCTAGGTATCTGAATTCCAGCAATATAGCAGCACAGCCTCTCTAACCAGGGGAGGAGGGAGTCCCCAGGCCCCAGTGAGTCATCTCTGCTCTTCTCTGTGTACTGGAGCCAGCAGGGCCCTTGACTTCTCTGCAGAGAAACATTCCCATGTCTCCTAGGGAGAGAAGAGAGTGCACTCTCCCAGGGGCATCCTGGCTCCTGAGAGTGTTGGTTTAACCCATTTATCAGATTGAGGTGAAAGGGAGAAGATGAAAGACAGAAAATATGTAGTCCAGAGGACAAGTTTCTCTACTTTCTGTGGACCAAACAGAAGCAACCCAAGTGGTTGAGTCTTATAGTTGCAATTCTCCTCTAGCCCATCTACTGATACTATAAGCAAACTATTTTCCAAGCCTATGCATTTAGATAATATGATTCTATTGTTTAAAAAAATAAGAATTTCATTGGTAATGGGGACAGGTGAGAGACAGGGGTATATTAACATTGGGATTCTAACAGTATTAAATAAACTAAAAAGGATAGCGATAATATCAGCCCACCACCCAGAATTGGTAAATAAGCAATTGGTACATGCTTTGTGGCTCCATTATGTATCATGAAGAGCTGAAGGATACATAAGCCCAAAGTCAACCTGATGTCCTCCCACTACCACAAATGACTTCCTGTGGGTGGGAGGAGGGAAAATGGTGCTGGAGTTCAACTAAGTAAAAGGCCATATAGAAGAGGCTACGTGCTGAGAAGCTGAGCCAAGCTGTGCCCTTTCTATTGCCTGTGGTTTTCAAGCATTTCCTATATACAGGATGTTCCCCCGCTAAGCAAAGTGCCTGGGAGGATGGAGAAGCTTCGGTTGCTGAGTCCAATCCTAGAACCCAGGAACTAGAAACTTGGCACCACTCTATTTTGAGAGAACTTCAATAGCAAGAGAGAGACTAAGTATTTCTGGGCAGCTGCCCTGCTTGTAGCAGGGGCATCCAGGATGGATCTCTGGGGAGCCCAAATAATCTAAGGATCTAAAGCCTTCTAAACAATGTCTTAGAGAAAATGCAAATAATAGAACCACCATTCTGAGTTCTTTTCAAGACTTCATATCTTAGGTTACTGAGACCTGCTGATTCTGGGAGATACTGCAAATATGGTATGGGGTCCTGGCATTATAAAATCTCAACTTTGATTCTTCACTCCCATCCTAGGTACTGAAACACCTTCACAGCTGGAAATTCATAGACATTAAGCTACAAAAGGAAGGAAAACCAGAGGGTGACAGGACAGAAAGAATGAGCTACTGGAAAGGCAGACTTAGCTCAAGGAGTTCTCATAAGCCCACCACATCATGCCCACCACATGTGGTTTGTGGGTACTTGTTTACCCAGAGAATGGTGACATCAGACAAGTCTGGCTTCTGCAGGTCAATCTCAGGAGTATCTGAAGTCCTATTTCTGATGAGACCCTGAATTTCTCTACTTTCCTTGGTAAAAGAGGAGAAACAGAGGATTTCTTTCATTTTCAGGTTCTTCTACATTGTTCTCAAGATTACAATTGCATATTTTGGACAAAAATAATCCAACTTTCCAGGTGAAGATAGAAGACTGACTAGCTCATAAACATCATCACCAGCTGATTCACCCCTACATGCCTCTTAGTATATGGAACACAAAAATCAAATCAATACAGTCAATATGTCACTGCTAGGAGGGCATCAGCGGCTACCAGCCTTGGGGAGCATGAAGAGCTACTTCGTTGAAATAATCACTCCTTGGCATTTCAGGAGCACTTGTGTCAGCAGAGCACAGTGCATGCATAGTGAAAGACCATAACTCACCCAGGAGGGAAGGAAAGCAGGGCCAACACATGGAGTTGGACCCCGGAGAGGGGGAGTTAGTATTTATGAAAGCCCACTTGATGCCATATTGGGGATCCCTAAAGAGGCCCAAAATCAGTTTTTGTAGGAAGAAAAGTCTGGCAGGATCCTGTGAGAGAGGAAATTGTCATACCCTTTGTTGCAGCAAAGAGATTTTTTTGTTTTGTTTGTTGGTGGATGATATACTTCCACCAACAGTCACATGCTTGAAAAATTTAACATGTATAATTTCAGAAGACAATGAGATAAATTAGAGGTCTTAATTTAAAAATGTCCACAATCTCCTTGTAAGGAGTCTGAACTTTCATGAGGAGTGATTTCCCAATGTACATAGGAATTATCCAGATATATTGCTTAAATATAAGCTCCAGGACCTTTAATAGAGATTCTTGTTCAGCATTTCTTTGAGAAAGAAGCAAAGATACGCTTTTTAAATCAGATTCTCCCATGATGATTCAGATACAGAGAGTTCATTCCTAACACCCCCTCCTCCCCCATGAATTGCTGCACTGACCTCTACAACAGATCAGCATCTCTCCATTTTTCAGGCATCTTTCATTCTCGGTTGTACAAGGAAAGTGGAAGAAGCTCAGAACACTCTTTTAAAAACCAATACTGGGATTTCAAAATGGTCCTCATTTGGCTCTAGGGCTGACCCTCCCAAACCTCTTCCCTGTCAGATGTCTGAGTTCGGAGATAGTATCAAAACCCCTGAGAAACAAATGTGCTGTTAATTTTGAAAACTAAGCAGGGACCTTCAAGACAGAGGCTGGGACCCAGCAAACCAGCTTGCTGCTTCTCTTGAAATTGAACCCATTCAACAAGGTCTCTGTCTCTGCCTACCCTCATTAAACAGCAGCACACAGGGAAAGATGAAAAGAATGCTTCTTTTTCAAGTGGTCCTAATGCTGCAAAATGAATCAGGGATAAGCACAAATATTTGCATCTGAAAGAGGGGGGAATCTCTGAGCATCTAGTTCCCTGGAGAGAAGCAAGGATTAGCCTGAAAGGTTTGTAACCTGGTCAATATCCAGAAATAGATGGGTCTGCAGAAGCTGAAGAGTGATCCACAAAGTGCCTTTTGCCTCACCCAACCTCAGAAACCCCAGGACAAAAAGTAGCGTGGTGCCATATGGGCCAAAAGTGACTTGCTCACACAGCTTCCCTGTGGCGGAGAGAAAGAGCCTGTCCCTGCGGAGCTGCAATGCTGTGACTTGTGTCCATGGTGAAGAAGCCTGTAATGTGGATGCACAGGCACCCTCTTACCTCTGGTCCTCAACAGAAACCGCTCACAGGCTGCCCGCTGCAGACAGGGATGGGGATGTGCTCTGTCTGGCGTTTAAAGCTGACTCCTACCTCGTACACAGTCCTAAAGGGGCTCTCAGTTCTTTTCAGAGTTGGACAGTAACCCTTCGTCACTGTCCTCACCATCACCCACATTCCCAAAGCGAGATGGGTCTGGAATCCCAGTCTTCTCACCCGAATCTCAAACGGAGAAAAGGCAAATAAGAATGAAAATTCAGAACCACGGACAGCGGCAAACCTAGGAGTGGTATAACTGAAACCCGCCTCTCCCTCAGTTTCTGCCCTTTGAAACTGAAGTCTCAGGTTGCACCAATACCAAGTTGCCAAAAACAATCCTTCCTCCTCTGGGGGCCGTGGGAAACTGGCTACGTGCCCTGGGGCCGGAGTTCTGGTGCCAGGAAAAAAAGTCCCCTCCCAAGACGCTCTCGGAGGGGCTCACTCAGGTAGCACCCGCGAGTGCCCAGGGGCACGCATTCTCGCCCGGGCGGCGCAAAGGATACCAAGAAAGGGGGAGAGGGGATGGCAGCTGCCGGGTTCCGGACCTACACCAAGCAAGCTGTCCGACGGAGACTGTGGATAACCCGACCTAGGCTGGCCGCTCCAGGTAGTCAGCGCCAGAGTGGCCAAACTTCTAGTCCGGACCGCGCAGCTCACTGAGCTCCCTCTCCTCTCCCTTCGCCCTGCCTCGACCCCAGTCGTCAGTCGCTCCATCTAAATGGGCTTACCTTCAAGCCATAGGGCGCCCGGGGGCAGAGACTGCACCGGCTGCTCGAGGCTTCCAGCTCCCGCCGCATCCACGCACGGCCGCCCCTCCCGCAGCAGCCGTCCGGGGCCGCCGCTCTGCTCGGCGGCCCCTTGGTCCCGGCCCCGCCGCGCCGTTCAGAGCCCCTGCGGGCAGCCGCTCGGTCGGCTCTAGCCCACGAGAAGCAGTGGACCGGCCGCGGCGGGGCGGGGCGGGGTGGGACGGGGCCGGCAGCGGGGCGGGTGGGCAGGATCGCTGCTCTCGGCCGAGGCGCGGAGGCGGCCAGCTCTGGCACTGAGGCTGGACAGCTCCGCGGCGCCGGAGCCCCGGGAGTGCGGGAGGGGAGGGGGTGGGGCCGCCCTGGCCACGAGGCGCCCCAGGGCCCCGCCCCTGGGACAGGCCCCACCCCACAGCCCCGCAAGTGTAGGTGCCTGTTCCGCGCACCAGAGCTTCACGTACCAGAGAGTACTTGCGGATTCCGCAAAGCCTGGCTTTGAGGCGGGAACTGAGCTCTCTGGGTTGGAGCCGAGAGCGGAGCCCACGGAGCTCCTCCTACACTTTCTAAGTAACGCACTGTATACCCAAGGCTACCTTGGGCAAAGCGGTCTCCATGCCTACTTTAACGCTGTCTCCCTTGGAGGGGTCAGAGACTAAGGGTTGGGAAAGAGCCATTCGTTCAGCAAGTCACTTAAAGAGGAGGAGGTGTCGGGAAAGATTCAGGATAGGTTTTCTGACCTCAGGTCAGGAAATCTCTGTAGCCAGTTCTGTTGCTTGACTTTTGCAGAGTAAAAGCCTGGTAGGAGTCGGAAATGCAAAAGAAGGCCTAGGGATTCCAGTTCACCTTTGACTCCAAACAGGTGTGTGTGGCCAGGAGGAGGAAGAGAAAAAGAAGTGGTTCTCTGTTGCATGCCCTGCCCAAGGTCATTTGGTCTGCAGAGGAATTTTCTTGTCCCCCTCTTTTCTTCCTCTCTCCTTTTCTTTCCATTTTCAGCAATTTGTTGCCGACTGTCCTCCCTCTGCTGGGTTCTGTGTCAGATTCAGCGGTCACAAAGAGAAATAAAGCCAGGCTCCTGTTCCCACAACTGCCAATTCAGGGAGGAGATCTCCAGAGAAACATTTGCAGCTTAAAAGAGGCCCCTTGGAAGATTAAAAAACAAAAAAAGAAAAAAATACCAGATCTCCCAGGATCTGGTCATGGAAGGAACAATGCAAGGTCCCAAAGAGGAGTAATGGAACAGCAACCCAAGCAGAGGGAACATCATAAACAAAGGACTGTGTGTGGCAGGAGTCAGCCCTGCACGACTAGAATTGAGCCACTCTGGGCCACAACAGACTAAATTTCCTCCACTGGCCACACAATTATAGAAAATTAGGGTTGGAAAGGACCTTGGCATTGATCTAATCCTTCTTCACTTCAGAGGGAGCTGAGGCCCAGAGAAAATGAGAGCCCTTCAAAATACCACAGAAATCCCACAATGGAGCAGTCCCTGTCTCCTGATACAAAAAGCCAGCAATTCTCTCAAATATGGCCAGCTATGGAAGCATTTGGGGGAAGTGGAGAAGCTGTGAGTGGGCACAATGCACCCTCCCCTGCATATGCCTTTGGCACTACTATCATGAATTGTCCCCTATTCCCCTGCAGGCTTGATAGGGTGGTATTACAACAATCACATCTTAACATTTTTGTCATACTTGCTTTTAAAGCAAACATTATAGACATATTTGAAACCCCGGTGTTTTCCTTATTTACCCTTGGGCCATTCATTCCAAGATTTAATCCATTTAAGGAAGAATTAAATCCAGCACCCCTATGTAAATTTCAGTGATGGGACAGAATAGTCCTAGAGAACCTAGGTTGGTGTCCTATGTTACCTATCAGTAGTGTGACTTTGGTTGAATCACTAACCTCTTTCAGTCTCAGCATTCCTATCATTAAATTGGGGCTAATAATATCTGTCTTTCCAAGCTGCCTTGAGGATAGTAGATAAGGATTTGTTAGACAAACTATGATATGGGCAATCTCTGACTGCTCAAGAGTGGAGAGATTATCTTTGCTTGATCAGGAGGCAGAGGCAGGAGCCAGATGACCTCCATGGGGATGCACCAACACAAGGACATGTAGTTCTGTGCTGCCTTTTTTACCCCAATCTTGCACGGCTGAGTGGATTTCACGCTGGCTGTGAGTGAGACGGATGGATCTTTTAGTTTTCAATTAGCAAACGCCTTGCTCTTTAAACAAGCTGCATGGCAAACAGATGCACTGAGTGATTGATGACAGGGAACATCTGCAGCCAAGCAGTGGCTGCACCAGAGGCTCCCAGCTTCCCAGGCTGTCAGGTCCCTCTGGAGGTCATTTGGTGCCTCCCCTGCCTCCAGGCAGAACTGTACCTAGTCCAAGTAGGCCAAGTGGGGGCAGGATGTCCCTTTCCTGATAGCTTTCCTGGAACTCCTGATAGCTTTCCTGGAACTTCTTATTGGGAAGTTCTACCATTTTTCTGAACTCCTTATTGGGAAGTTCTACCTGATGTTAGGAAGACCTAAACTTTAATTTACATCTACTTTTTTATTGTTGAAAATGGTTAACAAATGGATAATAATAGATATTAGGGGTGATTTAGTCCATTTGGGTTGCTATAACAAAATACCATAATGGAGGCTGAGAAGTCCAAGATCAGGTTGCCAGCAGGTTTGGTGTCTGATGTGGGCCTGCTTCCTGATTTACAGATGGTAGCTTCTAACTGTCCTCACATGGTAAAAGGGGCAAAGAAGTTCTCTTGGGCTTCTTTTGTAAGAACACTAATCCCATTCATGAAAATACCAGTCTCATGACCTAGTCACCTCCAAGGCCCCACCTCATCATACCACTACCTTGGAGATTAGGATTTCAGCATATGATTTCAGACCTTAGCAGGGGTAGAAGAGGGATTGGGGCAGGTGGAGGTTTTGTTGGTTTTTGCAATAAGGACACAAAGGACTGAGCAAACAGAAAATAAAAGAGAGCTAGGTCTCCCTCCCTTGCTAATAGAACTGCCTTCCAAGGGGGAAAATGAAGTCAGCTGGGGCTCAGAAAAGTGGTCTCTTGGACTCTGAGACACCTGCAGAAAGACACAGATTGTCACAGCCCCCCTTCTGAAAACTATTCTATAGAAAATAAGGGAAGTGCCCTCATCTGAGAGGTCATGAGACAGAGCAAGGTCCATAGCAACAGTGGGATCACAGAGGACTTTGTTCATGCCCAAGTTGCACAGTCTCAAAAGCTGTGAGTGCTATGAGGTTCATTGTCCTCAATTGTACATGGAGATAGAGATCCACACCAAGGTACTATGGGAAGATTATGTGGAAGGAATGATAACTGATATATCTCACAGGATGTTTTCTCCACTAACAGACAACTACAGCTAGAGGAAAGGCCATCGCCCCCCATCCACGTGAAGCTGCAGCTCTGTTTCTTAACCTGCTTTGTAGAGAATAACTGCAATCTTATTTTCCAGCTATGGAATTTTTTTCCTTTCTCCTCTTTCTTTGTCGTTTGTCATTTTGTTCTTACGCCATTTGCACATGACTCTGGGAACACTGGATTGATAATCCATCTGGGTCAGAGGAAGAGTAGGGTGAAAGGAAAATGAACTTGACCTTTTTGTGCTTGCTTATATCTCTCAAAGTGCAGAAACCTTTAAAGAGGGGCAGAGTTCTTGGTTACTGATGCTGCTGAGAGAGCCACAGCCCCAGGACAGAAAATCCAGTGAAGGGGCTGAAAATTCAGTGAAGGGGCTAGCTTAGGCTGGCCTCCCCAAGAAAGGCGGGGAAGGAGAGAGGTTTAGGGCACTGTCCCTATCCAACACAGGAAAACAGAAAATTACCTGAGAGTTTTGACAGCTGTATGTGTAATTCGCCCTTAGAGAATGATCTCCTCATAGGAAGACTCTAACAGGCCTTTCCACCTCAGTGTGAAATGGACATTTCTAGATGTTCTTTGCCCATCCTCCTATTTTGAAAACATAAAGAATAGAGGTGTGATCTCTTTTAAGAAATTCTACTCTGCAGTTCTTCATGGTTACAAAGGAGATAATTGATTATCCAAACTTATTTAATTTGCCTAATAGGAAAAGGTCATAAGATATACACCCTATAATTTTACAACTATGTTCATAGTAGCATTATTTACAGTAGCCAAAGGGTGGAAACAACCCAAGGAGCTATTTACATGCATAAATAAAACATGCTATACACAGATGATGGGATATTATTCAGCCTTAAAAAGAAGGAAATTATCACATGTGCTACCATGTGAGTGAACCTAAAGACATTATGGTAGGTAAAATAAGTCAGTCACAAAATGACAGATGTTGTATGATTTCACTTATGGGAGGCATCTGGAGAAGTCAATCCATAGAGATGGGTGAACGGGGTGTTGCCAGAGGCTGGAGGCAGGAACAAATGGGAAGCTATGTAGTGGGCCTGGGGTTTCAGTTCTGGAAGATGAATAAACTCTAGAAATGAATGATGGTGATGGCCCATGACAGTGGCAATGTATATAATGTCACAGAACTATACACTTCAAAATGATTAAAATAGTGACTATTAAAATACATTTTTATATCTTTTAACACAATAAAAAACATATACACTGTGTTTCAGTGGACACAGCAGTGACCACACACAGAGAGAGGAACACAAAATAAGACATCTTAGAAATGACCAGGTAAGTAGGTGGGAAAGTGATAGTGTTGTCCAGGCAACAATCAAGTCACATACAACTTCTGAAATTCTGTATTTAGAGAAGTATAACCACCTGGAGTTCTTAGGCAGCTCCCACAGACAACAAAGCACTTTCTCAGATGTGATCTCATTATACACAGTTGATGGGACATTATTAAGCCTTAAAAAGAAGGAAATTATCATTGAGATGTCTGGTATGTCATGAAGGTGGGAGTGCACCAGGAAGGCTGCGAAAGGGGTCCCCTTCTGGAGAATGGAAGCAGTCAGTGAAACCAGGATGGTGGTCTTTGTGATGGTCAATGAATGCAATGACCACAGCCACTGGGTTCTGAATGAGGTTGTAATGAGGTTGAGTTCAGAGAACCTCAGTTGTGCAGAATAGCTCCCTCCCTGCTTTCTTTGGTGAGAGTATTAAGGAGCAGAGGTATTCTTAGTCTATAAACTAACCAGCCACATTTGGGAGTAGTTGAATGCAACTACTCCCCACTTGTGTTCCCTGACTCAGGACAACAGCATCCAGCTTTTTATGGCCTCTCTTCCTCCAACACAACCAGGGTAGAGTC